GGCCCCTCTGGCGTCCCAAGCCAGTTCTTAACCATCACGCCACTCGGCCAGCCCCAAGTTACAATTCTTGCAGAAAAGCTAACAATGATCAAGAAGATGGCATTTAGATGAACTCATGACATTTACGTAATTTATGTAATTGCTTCCTCTGTAGCTGCTGCATTTTCTTCAGCCCTCTTTCAGTTCTTCAACCTCTCCCTCCTCCTTCCTCCCAATTAATTCATTTCTACTCATTTAGGCTTTGAAAGAAGAATTGCTTTTTCCAGCTGAAGCTTTTCTAATGAAAATACTTAATTCGTTCCAGGATAAGTAATGGTAACTCTGACAATGGAGTCTGGTATTTCTCCTGGAGGACTAGGGAGTGATTAAAGGGATGGACAAACTATTGACAGCCTCTATCTCAGCCATAATGTCTTTAATCTTCCTTCAACATGCACACACAAATGCAATCTCAATTTCCCTTCTACCTTCTGTAGGGGAGTATCGAGCTATTATCTGCCAAGCGGGTCTCCAACCTCAAAGATAATGAGTTAAGACTGCAGAACTTTCCAAGTGTCACATTTTCCGGGACTGTGGTACTGAAAATTCAACCTGAGTCTTTGAAATATGAATGTTACATGCCACTACCTCTTTTTTCCAATTAGTTGCAAATCATTTCCCTGTTTCACGCTCATATAAGAAGTGCCTGCTGAAAAAAAGAATTGATGAAAATCATAGCAAAAGAGCTATGTTGCAGTTAGTTTTGCTACAAATTATGCAGAGTAAGTTCATGTGATTTAGTAAATGGAGACGACAGCTTCAAAGATTGAAGTTGTGGAGGGAAAAGGACCAGATGGTAATGTGGCCCATCTTTCTCTACTGCTCTCCCCACCCCCCACCCCAATTTAGAGACAGTAAAAAATGTGGAAAAACAAATATTGATGTTGAAAACTCCAAGGAAAATGCTATTTTTCCCTCTTAATTAGACTTGTAGCTTATTCTTTACTACTTATAATCATTGAAGTATATATGTTCATTTTAACAATTGTTTTGTTTTGCTACAGTTTGTTTGCATGTTGGTATTACCTAGCCTCTTAATGAAATTACATTACTGCTAGAATGAGTGATGAGAATACTTGAAGGGACTTTTTTTTTTAAGTTGAAATATAATTCAACTCCATAAAATGAGTCCCAATTCATCCCATAAAATTCACCTTTTTAAAGTGTAAAATTCAGTGGGTTTTAGTGTATTCACAACGTTGTGCACTAATTCCAGAACTTTTCATCACCCCCATAAGAAACTGCATACCCATTAGCACTCACCCCTTATCCCTTCAGCCCCTGGCAATCACTAACCTCACTTCTGTTTCTGTCACGACCTGCGTGGCAAGGGCAAATGGGACACGAGAGGGGCGACGCAGATTGAATAAGAACAAGAGACAGAAGTCAGATTTGAGAGCAAGACCAAGGGACTCAGCCTAAGAAAGACTGAGCCCTGAATCAGGTCAATGCTGGGCTTTTATTGAGAATCTTCAAAGAAGCAAACTGCAGAACGGTGAATCATTAACGTGTATACGTGGGTGTCTTAAGGCTTGTTCCCATTACCTGACCCCATTGTACTCCAACAAATGCTATGCCTTCATACATCACTGCACAGCCCCAGGACACTCTGTTACATGTCCTCCCAGGGGAGACAACCGATATCATTCCATCAGGTCTCAGTTATCCGAGACGCCCCCCGAGAGAGCTTTACAGATATCATTCCATCCGGCCTCAGTTTTCCGAGACACTCTCTCGACTACAGGGTATGAGGCTAATGCAGAGGGGGTGGTCATGGGATTGGCTGTAAGGAAACATGTTTCTGTGGATTTGTCTATTCTGGACATTTAATGTAAATGGAATCATACATTATGTGGCCTTTTGTGTTTGGTTTCTTTCACTTAACATAATGTTTTCAAGGTTTATTCATATTGTAGCATATCAGTACTCCATTCTTTTTTATGGGTTAATAACATTCCATTGTATGGGTGTACCACATTTTATATATCCATTCATCAACTGATGGACATTTAAGTTGATTTCACTTTTTGGCTATTATGAATAATGATGCTGTGAACGTTGATGTACTTGTTTTTATGCAAACATTGTTTTCAGTTCCCTTGGGTATATATACCTAGGAGTAGGTTGCTGGGTCACATGGTAATTCAATGTATACTTTTTTGAGGAACTGCAAAACTAGTTTCCAAAGCAGCTGCACCATTTTACATTCCAAAATGACGTATGAGGATTCCAATTTCTCCAGATCTTTGTCAACAATTGTTATTGTCTGTCTTTTTTATTAGAGCCATCCTAGTGTGTGTGAAGTGGTATCATTGTGGGTTTTTGTTTTGTTTTGAGGTATCAATGAATTTAAAAGGATTAAAGTCATACAAAGCATGTTCTCTCACCACAATGGAGCTAAATTGTAAATCAATAACAGAAAGATAGCTGGAAAAGCCCCAAATATACAGAAACTATATAACACGCTTTAAGAAAAAAGTGGTAAAATATACATAATGCAGAATTTATCCTTTTAACCATTTTTAGTGTATAGTTTACTGACCTTAAGTATGTTCACATTGTTGTGCTACCATCGCCACCATTCATCCACAGAACTCTTTTCATCTTGCAAAACCTAAACTCTGTACCCATTAAATAACTCCTAATTCCCTTCGGCTCCAGCCAATTACAGTTCTACTTTCTGTCTCTGTAAATTTGACTACTCTAGGTATCTCATATAAGTGGAATAATACAGTGTTTGTCCTTTCGTGACTGCCTATTTCACTAGCATAATGTCCTCGACCGTCCATGTTGTAGCATGTGTCTGAATTTCCTTCCTTTTTTAGGGCTGAATAATATTCCAGTGTATGTATATACCCTCACTGTGGTTTTGTTTGCCTTCCCCTAATGACTAGTGATGTTGAATATTTTTTCATATGCTTATTGGCACATGAAAAATAAAGATATTGTGTACCTTCTATGGAGAAATTTTCTTAGAAAAAAACGCTGTTTACTTCTTTAGATAGATATTTAAAACTGAATGTGAGTCAGCAACATTATGCTATTATTTAAAAAATAAGAACAGAACCGAGTATACAAATAAAACCTATTCAAATCCTTTGCCCATTTTTTATTTTTTAAGAAATTTTATTGGGGAACAGTGTGTTTTTCCTGGACCCATCAGCTCCAAGTCAAGTAGTTGTCTTCAATCTAGTTGTGGAGGGCGCAGCTCCGTGGCCCCATGTGGGAATTGAACCGGCAACCTTGGTGTTATGAGCCTGTGCTCTAACCACCTGAGCTAACCGGCCATCACTTTGCCTGTTTTTTTTTAAAGATTTTATTGGGGAATTGGGGGAGGGGAACAGTGTTGGGGAATTGGGGAAGGGGACTGGCCAAATTGTTGTTGTTCTTCAGTCTTCGTTGTGGAGGGCATCAGTCGCCATCTGGCTTTCCCGTCGGCAGCTTGTGGCCTCTAAGCTCAAGGTGCTGTGTTCAATCTTAGTTGCAGGTGAGCATAGCCACCATCCCATATGGGAGTTGAGCCTGGCAGCCTTGTTGTTAAGAGCGTATGCTCTATCCACTGAGCCATCTGGACAGCAGCTCAGCTCAAGGTACTGAGTTCAGTTAGTTGCAGGTGGGCATAGCCCACCATCGAACAGGCAATCTTGTTGTTACACCAGCTGAACCATCCTGCCACCCGCTGGTAGCTCAGCGACAGCTCAGCTCAGGCACAGCGTCACTGGCCCATGTGGGAATCGAACCAGTGGCCCTGTTGCTCAGAGCTCACACTCTTAAGCCAACGGTTAACCAACTGAGCCACTCGGTCGGCCCCCCTTTGCCCATTTTTTAATTGAGTTATTTGTCTTATTGTTGAATTATAAGAAGTTTTATGTATCCTGGATACTAGTCCCTTATTACGTATATTATTTGCAAATATTTCTCATATTCTGAGGATTTTTTAACTTTTTTTTTTTAATGGGGGAGGGAACAGCGTTGAGGAATTGAGGAAGGGGAACAGACAAATTGCTGTCCTTTGGTTCTTCAGTCTAGTTGTGGAGGACATCGCTTCACTGGCCCATCCATGTTGGTATTGTGATCATTGCGCTCTTCCTGGCTGAGGCAGATTGGTTGCCGGCCATTGGACAGCTGCTAACTGCGGCTCACGCTGGCTCATGGCAGCTCACACCAGCTGCTGGCCACTCACATTGGCTGCCGGCCACTAACAGTAGCTCACAGCAGCCCACTGCAGCCTATGCTGTTGGTGCGACTCATGGCAGCCTAGCTCCAGGTCAAGCTGTTGTTAACTATCTTAGCTGTAGAGGGTGCAGCATCATTGGCCCATGTGGGATCCGAACCGGCGGCCCTGCTGCTCAGTTAAGAGTTGGCACTCTCAAGCCAAATCTTAACCAACGAGCTACTTGGCCAGCCTTATTTTTTACTTTCTTGATGAAAACTTTGAAGCCCCCAAATTTTTAATGTTGATGAAGTCTAATTTATCTATATTTTGTTGTTGTTGCTTGTGATTTTAGTGTTATACCTAAGAAACCTTGGCCTAATCCAAGGTCATGAAGGTTTATGCTTATATTTTCTTCTAAAAGTTTCTTTTAAGGGTTTTATAGTTTAAGCTCTTAGCTTTAGGTCTTTGATGCAGTTTCATTTTTTATGTGGTATGAGGTAAGGAGTCCAACTTTATGCTTTTACAGCATGTGGATATCCAGTTTTCCCACCACCATTTTTTAAAAGACTATTATTTTCCCCATTGAATTGTCATACCACCCTTGTCAAAAATCAGTTGACCATAAATGTAAGGGTTTATTTCTGGACTCCCAACTCTATTCCATTGGTCTATATGTCTATCCTTGTGGCAGTGCCACACTGTCTTGATTACTGTCACTTTGTAGTAAATTTTGAAATCAGGATGTGTGTGTGTGTGTTTGGGTTTGGTTTGCTCTTCTTTTTCTAGTTTCCTAAGGTAGAAGTCTAGGTTATTGATTTGGGGGCACTTTCTTTTTATTTATTTTTATTATTATTGGAAAGGAGGAAGCGTAACAGCTCCTCAGCTTGCTTGCTTTCTTTTTTTTTTTAATTTCAGGTGCACAAAGCAACGTAATAGACATTTACACCCTTCACAAAGTGATAACTGCTGCCCCCACCCCCAACCCCTGGGGACTTCTTTTTAGATTGAGACTAGAGTTGGTGATTATATTCCTTAAAATCTTGCCAGAATATGGTAATTAGGGAGAATTATCTTTTTGCAATTTTCTTAGGGAAAAACATTGTTTACTTAGATTTCAAAACTGAACATGAGTCAGCAGCATTATGCTATCATTTAAAAAATAAGAACAGATTAGAGTACACAAATAAAACGTGTAGGAAATTACTATTCTCAACACCAGTAAAAGTTGGAAGTGTTTTGTTGAAAAGACAAGCATTAGGTAAAGAAATTCAGATAAATCACATTGCAATTTAAAGATTTGAATATTACCTCACGTTCAAAGCTCAGTAAAATCATTCTTATAGTTAGATACCATATAAGGTAACTAAGAACTAGGGTTAGCCAACTATCCCAGGTTAATTTGAAACAAAAGAGCACAATTGTTATACCAAGTCAGTTGGATGTGGCGTCTTCCTAAAAATCCATTCTCTGCATTTTTGTATGCCATCTCCACATTTAATGCATGCTGTGGGTACTTCCTATTTTTCTTAATTACTTAATTTCTTCTGTGCCCCTTAAACTTATTTATTTGACTGCAGTCTCTTTTGTTCATTATGCATTATGCCTTTACTTTGAACATATGATTTGATGGATACTTCATTTCCTCATCAAACATGGTTTTGCTATGCATAACATTTTCTTTGGCTAACTCCTGCAATTTCCCACATTTACTACATCACTACTTTGGCATTTGAACAGTCAATCATGTTCGCTCCATTTTCTTTTGTAATCCAACCCCTTCTATTTAGATAGATTACTTTAACAATAACTTTTATAATACCCTTACTTGGACATTTTACAAAAATAAAATTACCTCCAAAACATTGGTACCTTTCCAATTTTTCAGTGATTCCACTGTTTAATGACTTAAAGGAAAGAACACTGGAAAGGCTAAGAAAGCAACTATAACAATTAGATGGTCTTCATTAGCTTATTCAACTTTAAAGGTGTGATTAGTTAGAAGAAATGAAAGTCAAGTGAAAACCTAATAGTTATGTAGCCTCATGAAGCTTTGGTGTTCAGAGGCTGACCACCAGCTGCTTTGTCCTTCTCTAGGAGGATGACAGAAAGTGGGCTTTAGATGCAACATAAAGACCATGGGTTAGAGACAAGTCTCTACAGTGAGAACAATGGAGTGAGTTGCCCAGGAAATTGTGAAACACTCTCTAATGATCTTTAAAGATAAAATCCACACGTATTCATCTGGATTTGTTTAAGTGTGGTCCTGGTTAAAGAAAGAGAGAAGGATCAGATAACTGCATGCTTTTTCTATTTAACATACCAAATAGATTCTTGAGTAGGAAAAGGGAAAATAAGCAAGATACAGCCCAGTGTCCTAACAACAGTTAGCCTTAGGGAATCATTTTGAAAGCATCTGATTTGGTCTGAAGTCTTGAGTACTTAACCAAATTGACAACATAGTGAAACATTCTAGTGCTTGGGTTTTATAGGGTAGAAAAAGGAAATGGACTCAAGTAGCCAACACTTCATATTAAGATCAGCAGTGAGATTCTTCTTGATGTTCTGTTTTGACTGTTCTGGACAATATCAAATTAGTTTCAGTGGCTTGATTCTAGGCCAAGGTTCTGGCAACAGATTGTTGTCTCACTTTGTTTTGTTCAGTCTCACTGGATTTCTCTCTCTTGATTATGTCTTTCCCTTAGGCTGAGGGTAAAAAGCTGGGATTGGTAGGCTGGGTCAAGAACACTGACCAGGGCACCGTGCAAGGACAACTGCAAGGTCCCATCTCCAAAGTACGTCATATGCAGGAATGGCTGGAGACAAAAGGAAGTCCCAAATCACACATCGAGAGAGCAAACTTCAACAGTGAGAAAGCCATCTTAAAGTTGGATTACTCAGATTTCCAAATTGTGAAATAATGACCTGAATTTAAATTTTCCAAGATAAACTCAGTGGTTTTGTTTTTATTGTTAATAGAGATAGACTTATTCTATAATATGTGTTCAATATTAGAATTTGTCAGTGTTATTTTATTATCATATACTTGAATATTACTGTGTATTATATGTATGATAGAAGGATTACAACTGTACACAATTCTAATTAATAAAAACACATTAGAACCTTCTGTGTAGAGTACTTTATTTTTGGTGAATTAAATTTTTTGGCAAAATAAGAGGTATTTACTCAGTAAACATCTGTGGGAAGATAATTTTGAGGTAATTTAAAGAGGTCTGAAAGAAAAAGTTAGCAGTTACTTTGAGTCATTTTTTTAAATGGTTTCCATGACGTTTTCTTCAGGAAATTGCACACCTAATAAGAACAAATACCACGAGGTCAATTTGTTAGCTGTTCAAATGATGTTTTAGACTCATTACTTTTAGTTTTCTGGAGTTTCTGCTGTCATTCCTTTTCTCTGGGTAGGGAATTCACAAAAAGCAATGTTATGGGCTAAATTATGTCACCCCGCAAATTCATATGCTGATGTCCTTACCCCCAGTACCTCAGAATGTGACTGTATTTGGAGGTGGGGCCTTTAAAGAGGTGATTAAGGTTAAATGAGGTCATTAGGGTGGATCCTAAAACCAATATTCCTCAGTATCCTTATAAGAGAAATTTGGATACAGACATGTACATGCACAAAGGAAAGAACATGTGAAGACAGAGGGAGAAGACAGCCATCTACAAGCCAAGGAGGGAGTCCTCAGAAGGAATCAACCACTTCGGCACCTTGATATCAGACTTCTAGGCTCCAGAACTGTGACAAAATAAATTTCTGTTGTTTAAGCCACCCAGTCTGTGGTGTTTTGTTGTGGCAGCGCTAGTAAACTAATACAAGCAATAATCAGGATTTGGCGTCATCAGCCCTCCTGACTGAAATCTCCTGATTGGTTTGGTCATCCATTAATTTGTCACAAATTCCAATTTTTAAAAATATGAGGTTTCAGTGAAAATGAGAGAAAGCAAAAAGTGGTTAATGATTCCCAAAACATCTATTGTCACAGTGTTCTTAGAATTTCACTCTCATTCTGTTAAAAAAAAAACAAAAACAAGAAGCTGTAGTGGTATTGGAAAGATACAAAAAGACAATGGAAGAAGTCTTGGCGTCCTCATCTGTAAATTAAGAGTTGAGCTAGATAGTTTCTGTCTTTCCAGCCCTTAAACGTTATAATTCGATAAAATGGAAGGCTCTGGATTTATTCATTCATTGAGTGCCTAACATAAGCCAGGCACTGTTCTTGGCCATAGGGATACAGCAGTAAACAAAACAGACAAAATCCCTACCTTCCTATAGCTTACATTCTAAGAGAAGTCAGACAATAAACAAATATATATTGAATTAAATGGTAGTACATGCAAAGGAGAAACGAGAAAGAGGGAAAGAGGAAACAAAATAAGTAAAAATTGCTAGAAACAGTTTTTAACATCATGCTAAAAGGGGATAAGGATCGGGAATCCGGGGTACCGGTGCGAAAAGACCTTGGGCTGCAATGAATGCGCATGCGCACGGAGGTGTCACAGCCGAAAGGGACTTCTCGGCGAATCTCGAGCGCATGCTCGTGGGCTCGCGCGTGCACGAGTCAAAGAGCGCGCGGCCGGCGTCCGAGGCGGTTGGTATTGGGAAGCTGGTGAAGCGCGATTTAAGGTGACTTGGGGGAAAGCACGCGAAGAAAGGATGATTCCGGGAGATCTAACACCAGATGGGTCGTGGTGACCACTACGGGCCAGCTTTCCGGACCCAGCTGCGCAGAGGCTCGGGGAGGCCTCGCGGCCTTCCTTACGCGCTGGCGCCCACGACAGGGCGGGCGAGTCGGGGAAGGGGGCGGGGTGGAGCCAGAGCCTGGAGGGGCCCTCAAAGCTTTCTTAGTTCAGGACCCCCGCATAACTATCCAATTTGTCTCAGGAGCTGCGGTCCTGAAGTACGGGGACGTAATCAGGAAATCGTTGAGTTGGGTAACAAGCAAAATACCTACTAAACGTTTACGTTTCATTTACTGCTGACTGCATTGTCTAGAAATCGACAGATCTGCAATTATAGCTCTGATTTTCCCGCGTCTGAAAAACTAGCCCTACTACCTGCGAGAGGTCTAGCCCACACTGCTCTTTCACCAATAAAGAAGGGAGGGGACCTTTAATTGCACTACCTTAATTTTTTTTTTTTTTTTTACCTGCAAGAAAACTTAAACATCAAGTTCCGTCAGCCCCTTGCCATCATTATTGCCAAGGTAGTGTGTAGCCATTGTAAACAGTATTAACACAAAAAAATAATAATAACCTTCTGAAAACATTATATCAAAGTAAATATTCAATAGATGAACAAGATTTAAAAATCAAATGACACAGAAAGGCTTATAATGAAAAGAAATTTTCCTGCCTTATCCTTTCCCTTTCCCAGTCTCTTTGCCCTGAGGTAACTACATTTAATCATCATAATAATAATAGTTAATTATAATCTCTTAATGCCCATCTCCTCTTGATACAACAATTTGGTTTTATTTTCTCCTGTTCCTTCACCTTCTTACAGTGTCTTCATACTTCATTATCAGGTTTTTTTTTCTGAAAGACATGGTTATTGTGTAATATATAAATGTTGTGAAACTACCTTGGACATTTTTTGTGTGAATAATTTCTAGCTAATGTTTCTTAGCAGAATTTAGGCATCTGTTTTTGGTGAAGTGATTAGAATTTCGAACACTGTCTTTATGGGTCAACTTCAAGTGTAATTATGATTTCACTTGAGGGCATGTGGGATTTAGAAAGGATCAGTGAAAATTATGAAATTATGAATGCTGCTTTGGATGTTAAATCCATTGCATCACACATGAGCTGTGTGATCTGCCCAAAGATCAGAGCTATAATTTGTTTTGTTTAACCATGTGGTTTAATAACAGACTTCATTTACCTCAAATGATGTTTCTTCATAATATTTGAGAGAAATGGGTAATGCTATGTAATGCTGAAGCTTTGATAGCATGTGTGGTTTTTTCCCCTCCTGTAGGCAATTATTTCCAGCCAGAGAAGGAAACCAGTGCTTGGCATTCTCATCAGCTTTCTACCTGCCATGATCAAGTGCTTGTCAGTTGAAGTCCAAGCCAAATTGCGTTCTGGTTTGGCTATATGCTCCTTAGGCCAATGTGTGGAGGAGCTTGCCCTCAACAGTATTGATGCTGAAGCAAAATGTGTGGCTGTCAGGGTGAACATGGAAACCTTTCAAGTTCAAGTGATAGACAATGGATTTGGGATGGGGAGTGATGATGTAGACAAGGTAGGAAATCGTTATTTCTCTAGTAAATGCAACTCCATACAGGACTTGGAGAACCCCAGGTTTTATGGTTTCCGAGGGGAGGCCTTGGCCAGTATAGCTGACGTGGCCAATGCTGTGGAAATTTCATCCAAGACAAACAGGACAATGAAAACTTTTGTGAAACTGTTTCAGAATGGAAAAGCCCTGAAAGCTTGTGAAGCTGACTTGACTAGACCAAGTGCTGGGACAACAGTAACAGTGTATAACCTATTTTATCAGTTACCTGTAAGGAGGAAATGCATGGATCCCAGACTGGAGTTTGAGAAGGTTAGGCAGAGGATAGAAGCTCTCTCACTCATGCACCCTTCCATTTCTTTCTCTTTGAGAAATGATGTTTTTGGTTCCATGGTTCTTCAGCTCCCTAAAACCAAAGACATATGCTCCCGATTTTGCCAAATTTATGGACTAGGTAAGTCCCAAAAGTTAAGAGAAATAAATTTTAAATATAAGGAGTTTGAGCTTAGTGGCTATATTAGCTCTGAAGCACATTACAATAAGAATATGCAGTATTTGTTTGTGAACAGAAGGCTAGTTCTAAAGACAAAGTTGCATAAACTCATTGACTTTTTATTAAGGAAAGAAAGTATTATATGCAAGCCAAAAAACGGCTCTGCCAGTAGGCAGATGAATTCAAGTCCTCGGCTTCGGTCTCACCCAGAACTCCATGGGGTGTATGTAATCAATATGCAGTGCCAATTTGGTGAATATGATGTGTGCATGGAGCCAGCAAAAACCCTGATTGAGTTTCAGAACTGGGATACTGCTTTGGTTTGCGTTCAGGAAGGAATAAAAATGTTTTTAAAGAAAGAAAAATTATTTGTGGAATTATCAGGTGAGGACATTAAGGAATTTAGTGAAGATAATGATTTTAGTTTATTTAGTGCTACTCTTCAGAAGCATGTGTTCTCTGATGAAAAGTGTGACCAGGTCAGTTTCCAAGAAGCATGTAATAATATTTCGGATTCCTATGAAATGTTTAGTTTGCAATCAAAAGCTGTGAAAAGAAAAGCTGTAGAAAACATAAGCACACAGAATTCTAGGGATTCGGAAGCTAACAGAAAAAAGACAAATGATTCATTTTTGTACACTTGTGAATCAGATGACACAGGCCATGGTAAAATGACAGTATTATCTTTACAAAACAAAGCTAGCTCTTGCTCAGAATCAAGGATCTTAGAACAAGAGAGAGCTGAAGCATCAGAATCAGGAGAAAAGGAGAAACATAAAAAATCTTGTTTGGAGCTTAACTCTTCAGAAAATCCATGTGGAAGCAGTTCAGAAATGTTTGCAAGCCCTTTTCAGACATTAGATCACTTTGAGGAGAGTGGAGAAGATCATGAAATACAGAAAGTAAGTACCACTGTTAACAGCCTGGCTGCCACCGACATCCTCAAAAATAACAGAATTCAGAATCAACTAGAGACATTGAAAGAGGCTACTGAAAGGGCATGCCAACCTCTGCCTTTTGAGACAACATTACTGAGAGTATGTGGTGCTGAGGGAGAAGAAGAGGAAAGAAGAAAAGAACCTAGTAACTGTGGAAGAATAAACGTTTTTAGTTATGGACAAGTTAAATTATGTTCCACTGGCTTTATAACTCATGTGGTACAAAATGAGCAAACTGAATCAACTGAAGCAGAACATTTATTAAAAAATTGCATTCAGCCTGGTCCTGTGAGTGCCAAAGAAACATTTGGAAATAGAACTCGCCATTCACTTGAGACCCCAAGCATCAAAGATTTAACCAGCACTTTAAGTAAAGAATTTGCTCAATTGCCCAACGAAAAATTGTGCAGAACAAATATAAGTTATGGGCTAGGGAACAAACCTATAGCAACTTACAAAAATTTTGCTATTCTTCAGGAAAGCAGTAAAAAATCACACACAGGTTGCCTATTACCTGACACGTCCACTTTCTTGTGGTATACGCATGTTTCAAATGGTAGTAAGAGAGCAGATAAGTTGATAGGTTCCTCCAGACCCACAGTCCACAAGAAGCTAAGCTTAAATTCACAACTAGGATCTTTAGAGAAGTTTAAGAGGCAATATGGGAAAGTTAAAAATCCCCTGAATACGGAAGTGGAGGAAAATAATAATTTTGAAATCACTACCAATCTCAGTCCTCAAGTTGAACCTGACATGCCACAGAGAGACAAAAACCACTTAGACAATTCTGATATTTGTGAAATCACTACTATGAAACATAATGATTCAAATAGTCATTGTCAACCAGTAAGTCACACCCTTTATTCAGAAAAGTTTCCATTTTCCGAGGAAGAAGACTGTTTGGAACCACAGATGCCTTGCTTAAGAGAAAGTCCTATAACTCTAAATGAGTTATCACATTTTAACAGAAAATCATTGGATGTTGAGAAGTCACCCGAATCACTAGCCTCTAAATTATCCAGAATGAAAGGTTCTGAAAGAGAGACTCAAACAGTGGAGAGGATGAGTCATCTTGAACTTCCACAGTCAGATTCCAGTAGGAAAGGCAGTGACTTGTGCAGTGGGTTATCCCTAGATTCTTGTAAGTTACTTAAAAACGAGCATAAAAAAACAGAGAGTGTTATCATCCCAATGTCAGACACTGTCACGCAGGATAATTCTTTCAATAAAGATAGTGAAACATATTCTAAGAACAATACAACAGAGAACTCTGTGATATCAGAAACTCCTTTGGTATTACCCTATAATAATCCTGCAGTTATCAGTGAAGACTCTGATGTACTTATAGCTTCAGAACAATGGATAGGAAGTCCTAACTCTCCCAGTAGAATGTTAATGAGTCTCATGGACGATTCCACAGCCAACCCCAGTGGAACTTGTTTTCAGAATGAGGAATCTATAGCAAGAACTTGTTCTGCAAATGAAGAGTCAAGCACATGTTCTTTGGATTGGCAGCAGCACTTTGATGTTGCCTTGGGAAGAATGGTTTACATCAACAAAATAACTGGACTTAGCACATTCACTGCTCCTACTGAGGACACTCGAGCTGCTTGTACTAAGGACCTGACAACTGTGGCTGTGGATGTCCTACTTGAGAATGGTAAGTAGATAGTGTTCAATGGCATGAAATGCTTTTGAAGGTGGGAATAATGTCCAACGAGTAAGATAATCATTGTTCAAAGAGATGATCTCAGCAGATAGAACATTTCGAAGTTTAATTATAAAACGTGTTTTATGGTATATGAAGGTTCTCCAGGTCTAATACTATTTAAATCTAGAAATACAATGAAAGACTTACAGAATGGAGGTGTATGTACATATATGTATCTATGGAGGGGGGGAGTGTGTGAGAGAGGGGGTAAGGCAGCTTTTTTTTTTTTTTAAGGTTTTATTGGGGAATCGGGGAAGGGGAACAGACAAGTTGCTGTCCTTTTGTTCTTCAATCTAGTTGTGGAGGATGTCGCTTCGTCACTGGCCCTCATGTGGGATCTGAACCGGGGCCCTGCTGCTCAGAGCTGGTGTCCCAAGCCAACTCCTAACCAATGCTCCACTCAGCCGGCCCCAGTGAGGCAGCTTTTAATGAAATGGTACTATTAATAGTTGAGAAGATCCACAGTGCTTCCCTACCCTGCTTTCCCCTCTCGTTCAAACACATACCTCTCCTAGTAAGTTGTCTTTAAAACGAACCTGTAATGCCAGTGTAGTATTTTTCTGGAAGTTGCTCTCTGCGGCTCCCACGTAAAGGGCAGAATGACCCTGTAATCATACAAGGTTTCCCAATAAACTCTATGGCTCAGTACAGTACTATGTATGTATGTTTTTGTTGTTTGTTTTTTTAAGAAATAGCACTTGACCATAATTTTTTTGGCATATGGGTTAAATATGTACTTTCATAACTATACTTTTAAAATATACATTATTATAATATACATGCTAATCCACTTGGTCTGTTTATTGTATAAGTAGCTGTTATTCAGGAAGACAATAAGGTGGCTTTTTGATCATACTACAAGGCCAATCAGAGCCTAGACTGGGACTCTGAGTTCTCAGTGCTCAGTCAACACTAAAAAAGTGACATTGTTTTGGCAGTGTGTATAGAGCCAGATGTTGGGACATGGTAAAGCTGATTTCCATCTGGCTATAATCATGGTTTTGCATCAGGAGGATAAACATTAAGTGTGCATCCAGATTGAAAGTCTTGAATGTTGCAAAAGAATGTAAATTATATGAATGTAATTGACAATTAACTTATAATTTCTCTTTCGGATTAATAACTATAACAGGAGGCTCTGATTTATTTAAGATTAAATAAGTCCTTGTTTTCCAATGGTTTTCAGGTTTTTTTTTCTTGTGAAAAAACAATCACTATAGTAACTTTTAAAGTATTAAATAGGAGAAAACCCTTTTCTTTCAATATGCTCCTGAGACTATCAGGTTGCTCCTAAAGACACATGTGTTTTTCAGTCTATGTGGTTTTATGTCCTGATTTATCCTAAATGCTTATCAGAGGTAAATCTAAGGAACTGGCACCTCATCTTCCTGAAATGCAACTGCTTCTGATATGGTGATAAAAAATAACTGGGATACATTAAACTGAGATGGCTGTTGCTAAACAAAGGGGGAAATCTTGGCCACCATACTCAGCATAAACATCTGCTCCTGTTAAATAATCTAGATGTTTAAAAAACACTTCAACCTACTTAACTTTCTGGATTAGCAAGTCTTGTAATTAACTTTTGGGGGTCATGTTTACTCAGAGTTTCATAATGAAAAATAAAGTATTTTGGATATAGAGACAAGTTCCATGAAAAGATGGCTTCTAAGCACACTCCAATCACATGGACTGTTGTTACCTTTCTGGAAATGACTGATGTATAGCAGAACAGTAGGACATTATTCAACCATATAAAAACATTACATAAGATGAATTGTTAAGAGGCAAATTTAATTGTGTAGAAGAGAGGATCTATAAAGGTAATTTTAAGGAGTCTTGTCAAGTCTCCAAGCCCTGGCAGATTTTTTCTTTAAAATGTTTTTAACTCTGTCCTTTCTATTACCAATGATGCAACCTTATTTCACCTCCTATTTTAATTTTATCATTCTGCATTAATCTCTCTACGATTTTTGTCTGACAGATTTATCTTTTTGAAATAATTGTTTCATCCTGTTTTTCCCCTGTTCAAAAACTTTCAAATTCAGCATTGTTTCTGAAACTCAAATCTAATAATGATCCTTCAGAGAGGAGGGTAGACTTTGGGCCAGCTCTTACTGGACTTTGGAGTTTTAAATTGAGAACTTTTTATTAATTCACCTATTCATTTATTCATTAATTTATTGATTGTTCATGCTGTGCTAGGTGCTGCCACATTGCAGATTAACTGACTTTCAGGAGTTCACAGTCTATCTAAATGTAATTATAAGACAGCTATCTAAATATAATTATAATATGATAAGATAAATGTTATAATAGACACATATATTGGTTATAAGAGACATATAAATTGGGGACTTGTGAAAGTTGCATCCAGTAGTGAAGGATGATAATTAAATACCACTGTAAGTCTAATACAGGGTTTCTCAACCATGGCACTATTGACATTTTTTACTAAATTCTTTGTTGTAGGGTTTGTCCTATACATTGTAGGATATTAGTAGCATCCCTAGATTCTATCTGATAGATGCCAGTAGTACCCTTCACACAAGTTGTGACAACCAAAAATGTCTCAAGATATTGCCAGTTGTCCCCCATGCAATGCCCGCATTGAGAATCAGTGGTCTATTTTAGGTCCTCTTTCTGCCTGGAATAAATGAATAATGAAACTAAACATTAATGTAGATTCCTAAATTTAGCAGAATAATTTCATTAAAGAGTTTTTGACTCTCAATCTAGTGTTTAGTAGTTTGCCTTATGTCTTGATTCAGTTTGTGTGGAAATGGATTTTATGTAACTTAATTTTTAATAGTTTATTTATATTTTGAGTTCAAATGGTTAGGTTTTTCTTTTTTATATTTAGGATCTCAATACAGGTGTCATCCTTTTAGAAGCGACCTTGTTCTTCCTTTCCTCCCTAGAGCTCGGGAAGAGAGGACTGGGATGAGACAGAATAACAGAGGTAGGGGCAATAACAGATTGCTGGAACACCTCATACACATTGTACCACCTACCTCAAAAAAAAAAAAAAGGCAGCGTTGTTATTAAGCTTGATCAGTGCCAGCTGTGCCTTACTGGAACCAGGAATTCCCCACGGTCCTATTTAACAGCACAGCTAAGTAATTGAGTGCATGCATTTAGATCAGAAATTACTTTTCCAGACTTGCGGTCAATACTGAGTGATTATGCACGGTCTGTGGTGCCTTGTGATTGAGAAAAGGTTTCTTATTTTTAAAGATTGGAGTTGTACTCCATATTACAGTAGTTTCATGTGAGTAAAACTCTTAAACAAAAGCTACAGACATTATTTTTCTTTTCTTTGTTTCTAAAAATAGATAAGGTAGTATATTTTTTACTAAAGGAAGTGAGGCTACTAATTTGAACCAGTTTCTTCTGGACTTGCATCCTGAAATTTCTCTTGACAATATTAATAGTTTGGAGAAAAAGCTATAATACCAAAAGATACAGTCATCAGCTCTACTTTAAAAATTAACAGATCAAAACACTTTAGAGATACTGCAAACACTGAACATTTGTAGAATATTGAAACACTGTGTCTGTCCTTTGGTCTTGAGGCTGCATCACACTGCGTATGAGATGCCATTCACCTTTTTCCCTGAGGCCACCCATGCCACTTTCCCTCTCCCCTTTTGCACTAGATACTGCGGATGATGCTGTTGGTAGTGAATCACTTCAGTCTTTGTTCTCAGAATGGGACAATCCAGTATTTGCCCGTTATCCAGAGGTGGGTCTGCAGCAATTTTTCTTTGCTTGTTATTTTAAAATTTGAAATTTCATTTAAGTTGGGTATGGGCATGATTGACTATACTAATTTGTAATTATGAATGGAAAGTGGGAATGTGTCCAAATAATTTATTTGGAAATTAATGTTTAATAGAGAGAGGAGGAATCAGAATTCATAGCATTTTGGGAGCTCAGCTTTAATTTTGGACTGAATATATGTGATCAGTGTGTGACCATTGAATGTGTTTTCCACTCTTAAAAACTCTGACTTGGAGCTTTGGCAAAGTACTTAGGGTGGTGATAATAAAAACTGTTATCGTTAGAAAAAGTAGAGACTCTTCTGTTGGAGGAACAGTTCATCATTGGACCTGAGTGTATGTTCTTTCCTCAGTGGGTTATCACAGACTGTACTTTGTGTGTTGTAATAAGGGTGTAGAATAATAGATGAGCAATTAGTTATTGCTTCTTCAGCTAAGATGTCATTAAGGACTTGATTGTGGAGCCTAGACAAATTGTTCTGAAACAATATTGGTTTTTGTCAGTAGTTTTGTTCATAAGCAAAAATTATTATTGAAGAATAATAATTCATAGAGCCTTTTGAATTTCTGTAAGTTCTCTGAATTCAACCCACCTCTAGTAGGTTCTGTGAAAATTAATGTTTTCAAAGCACTTTGAGATCTTTGGTAAAACAGTTCCACAGGCATAAAAAATTTGAATTTAAGTGATGTTTGTGCCTGGTCTTTCTAGGTTGCCGTTGATGTAAGCAGTGGTCAGGCAGAGAGCCTAGCAGTTAAAATTCACAACATCTTGTATCCTTATCGTTTCACCAAAGAAATGATTCATTCGATGCAGGTAAAATACTAACTTTGAAATCTCATAAAAATATATATAAGATCTAAGCTAGACTAACTCTTGTGAATTTATTTAATGATACAGACCACCCTGGTCAGGCACATGTGTTTTTAAAATCTTACTAGAACTTTATCATCAGAAAAAAAATCAATGGACTAATTATAATTACAATTTCAAAGAAAAAAATGTCCTTAGTGTGAACAG